CGACTTCATTTCTGAATATTTTCCTTTACCTTAAATGAGCTTTATTAGACTACAGTGAAACCTCTTGTCCATTTCCATTTTGATAAGGGCTACAGGCATATAAATGTTAGTTTTTTAGTCAAACTTCATCACTGAACTACAATTCTTTAACCTTTGATGGAATTTACTAAATTTCAGACAAACCTTATTTCCATTTTGATAAGGGATACAGGCATTTAAAATTTAGTTTTGTAAGTCAGACTACATTCCTAAAGCCAAATAATTTAATACTTTTTAATAAAATAAACTTTTGTCCATTTCCATTTTGATAAGGGTTACAGGCATGTAAAATTTAGGAATCTCTTGTCCATTTCCATTTTGATAAGGGTTACAGGCATGTAAAATTTAGGAATCTCTTGTCCATTTCCATTTTGATAAGGATTACAGGCTTAATTACTGGAACCTTTTGTCCATTTCCATTTTGATAAGGGTTACAGGCTTAATAACTGGAACCTCTTGTCCATTTCCATTTTGATAAGGGTTACAGGCTTAATAACTGGAACCTCTTGTCCATTTCCATTTTGATAAGGGTTACAGGCATGTTAAATTTACATTTTTTTAGACTTCATCACTGAACCTCTTGTCCATTTCCATTTTGATAAGGAATACAGGTAATGTTTCAAGCCTAATTTTGAGCTGTAGAATTGTATTTGATATGGTTTATTAAGCGTATAAAGAATAGTACATCGTTCTGGCTCTCGGCCAATTTTTAAAATACTTTCATTGCATTCTTTCTGCTCTGTTTTATGTCATTCTTCTCATTTCTAATCAACATTTAAAAAAATAGATTATTTTTTTGGGGGGGTTTTCATATTTTCTTGCTTTTTGACGCCATCTAAATATGTATTACTTGTTTAAAGGGAGAGTTACGCCATTTTGGGAGGTTGATTTGAGTCTTGAATATATGTAAATTTAAAACTACTACAGGTTCAATCCCAGCATAGGTGGAGATAATAACTTCAGATTTTTCAACCTGGTTTGACCCTATCCGTGAGTTAGATGCTTGCTCACTAATCTGAAGGTCCAGGGTTCAATCCTAGCATAGGTTGAGATAATAACTTCAGATTTTTCAACCTAGTTTCCCCCTGTCAGTGAGTTAGATGCTTGCTCACTAACCTGAAGGTCCAGGGTTCAATCCCAGCATAAGTCAAGATAATACCATCAGATTTTTCAATCCAGTTTCCCCCTGTCAGTGAGTTAGATGCTTGCTCCTTAACCTGAAGGTCCAGGGTTCAATCCTAGCATAGGTTGAGAAAATACCTTCAAATTTTTCAACACGGTT